TTCACAACAGCCAAGACATGGAAGCAACCTAAATGTCCATCAAAAGAGGAATGGTTAAAGAAGATGTGGTATATATACACAATGGAATACTACTCAGCCATAAAAGAAGAATGAAATAATGCCATTTGCAGCAACATGGATGGACCTAGAGATGATCATACTAACTGAAGTCAGACAGAGAAAGACAAATATCTTATGATGTCCCTTACATGTGGACTCTAAAAAAATGATAAAATGAACTTATTTACAAACCAGAAACAGACTCACAGACTTAGAACACAAGCTTATGGTTACCAAATGGGAAAGGTCGGGGAGGAGGAGGGATAAATTAGGAGGTTGGGATTAACATATACAAACTACTATATATAAAATAGATAATCAACAAGGACCTATGTATGGCACAGGGAACTCTACGCAATACTCTGTAATAACTTATATGGAAAAAAGAATCTGAAAAAGAATAGATATATGAATATGTACAATTAAATCACTTTGCTGTAGTATACCTGAAACTAACACAACATAGTAAATCAACTATAGTCCAATATAAAATTTAAAAAAATAAGATAAAAGAAGATTGGTCAAAAGTCAAAATAATAATAATAATGTGTTGGTAAGGATGTGGAGAAAAGGGAACCCTTGTGCACCGTTGGTGGGAATGTAAACTGGTGCAGCCACTTTATAAAACCATACAGAGGTTCCTCAAAAAATTAAAACTAGAACTATCATATGAACCAGCAATTTCACTACTGGGTATTTATCTGAAGAAAACAAAAACACTAATTTGAAAAGATAAACACACCTCCACGTTCACTGGAGCACTATTTACAACAGCCAACACATGGAAACAACCTAAATATCCATCAATGGATGTACAGAGAACCTCTGGTCTACACACACACGCACACATACAGGAATATTATCCAGCTATAAAAAAGGATGAAATCTTGCCATTCAAACAACATGGATGGACCTTGATGGCATTATGCTAAGTAAAGTAAGTCAGACAGTGAAAGACAAATACCATATGATCTCTCTTATATATGGAATCTAAAAATAAATTATTAAAAAAAGTCAAGCTCACAGATACAGAGAACAGATTGGTGGTTGCCAGAGGTGGGGAGTGGGTGAAATGGGTGAACTGCTTTTTTCTTCAGTTTAAATAAACTGAATGAAATAAAAATACTTAATTCATCATATTAACAAACTGAAAAAGAAACTAAAAAAGAAAAATCTTATGATCATCTCAACAGATGGAGAGATTTGACAAAATCCAACATCCACTTCTGATAAAAAAAATTCTGAGGGTATTAGGAATAGAAGGGAACGTCCTCAATTTGATAAAGTACATTTATGAAAAACCTAGGACAACATAATTAATGTTTTTTCTCCAAGATCAGGAAAAACATAAGAATAGTTGCTCTTGCAACTTTTATTCAGTATTTATTAGAGGTTCTATATAGCCAGTTCAAGGAGGCAAAAAAAAAAACAAAAAAAAGATTAAAAAGAAGATTGGAAAAGAAGTAAAACTGACTTTCATAGACATGATCATACATGTAGAAAATCCTAGGGAATCGACAAAAAGTTTCTAGAACTAATAAGTGAGTTTAGCAAGCCTGTAGAATAAAAGATTAATATACAAAACTCAATTACATTTCTATACACTGGCAACAAATAATTGGAAACTGACATTAAAAATAATCCTATTTATAATATGAAATACTTGAGGTTAAAACTGACAAAAGATATGCAAGATCTGTACACTGAAAACTGTAAGATATTACCGTGAGGAAGTTAAGAATACCTAAATAAATGAATAGATATACCAGGTTCATGGATTAGAGGACTCCACATTTTTGAGATATCAATTCTCCCCAAGTTGATATATAGATTCAATGTATCAATTCAAATCCCTGCAGGGCTTTTTTTTTTAATTAAAAAAAATTTTATTTACTTAATTTATTTATTTTTGGCTGTGTTGGGTCTTCGTTGCTGCACGTGGGCTTTCTCTAGTTGCGGTGAGCGGAGGCTACTCTTCGTTTTGGTGTGCGGGCTTCTCATTGTTGTGGCTTCTCTTGTTGCGGAGCACAGACTCTAGGCATGCAGGCTTCAGTAGCTGTGGCTCGTGGGCTCAGTAGTTGTGGCTCGTGGGCTCTAGAGCACAGGCTCAGTAGTTGTGGCACTCGGGCTTAGCTGCTCCATGGTATGTGGGATCTTCCCGGACCAGGGATTGAACCCGTGTCCCCTGCGTTGGCAGGCGGATTCTTAACCGCTGCGCCACGAGGGAAGCCCCGCTGCAGGACTTTTTGAATTAGAATATTCAAAGCAATCTTGAAAATGAACAAAGTTGGAGGATTTACACTACCTGATTTCAAGACTTACTATAAAACTATAGGAATCAAAACGGTGTGGTACTGGCATAAAGGGTTTATCAATTTTTGTTCATCTTCAGAGAAGCAACTTTGAGCTTTAATTTTCTGTACTGTCTGTTTTTTACTTTGTTGATTTCTGCTTTTATCTCTATTACTTCTCTCCTTCTGCCTGGGTTTATTTTGTTTTTGGTTTTGGTTTGTTTTTTTTTTTTTTTTTGGCTAGCTTCTTAAAGTGGAACTTTAGATCCCTGAGTTGAGACTTTTCTTCTCCAACATTAGCAGTTCAAGTTATTAATCTCTTTATAAATATCTCACTTTTACTGATTTCTAATTGAATTAACTCTAGCCAAAGAGTGTAGTTTGTAAAACATCAATTATTTCAAATTTGAGACTTGTATTACATCCCAACCTATTTTATATCTCAGCGAACATATCATGTGCACTTGAAAAGAATATGTATAACGCAGTTATTGTGTGTTGTGTTCTCTAGATATCAATTAGGTCAAGTGGCTGACCGCACTGTTCAGATCATCTATTTCATTAAGATGTTTTAACATTGGCAGAAAAGGGGTGTTAAGTTCTTCAACTATGATTATGGAAAGACTTTCTCCGACTCATTCAATTTTTGCTTCATATCTTTAAAGGTCTGTTATGAGTGAAAACACTTCCATGTTTGTTATGTCTTCTTGATGAACTGGCTGCTTTGTCACAATGAAATGTCTCTGGTGAGACTCCCTCCTGAAGTCTATTATTAATACAGGCACTCAGCCTTTTTAGGCGTGTTGTTTGGATTGTGCATCTTCCCCATCCAATTGTTCTCAACCCATTTGTGAATTTATATTTAAATTGTACTCTGCAGACAGCACGTACTTGGGTCTTGATTTATTTTTACCTGTTCTGACAATTTCTGCCATTTTATGTAATTATAGACTTAGTTGGATTTAGAGCTATTATTTTATTTTATTGGTTTGATAGGTTCCCTGGTTTTATTGTTGTTGTTGTTGCCCTCATCGTCCTTTCCTGTCCTTCTTTTGGATTATTTGTTTTTAAAAATTACATTTTAGTTTATCTCTTGGCTTTTTAGCTTATTTTTATATCTCCAACTCCATCAACCCTGGTATAGATTTAAAAATATCTGTAATGGCAATGGTTTCTGGAGACTAATTGTCAGTGTTTGATTCTCTACTCTGCCACTTGTTTGCTGTGTGACTTTGGGCAAGTTGTTACTTAACCTGTTCATGCCTTAATTGTTCCATATATAAAACAGAAATAATAACTTGCAGAGAAATGCATTTGGGGTCATGGTCCTCAGACCCAACTCATTATTAGCATAAGGTATAAACTCCAGGAGTACGGGCTTTCCAGAAAGCAAAAGACAGATGCAGTTCAAGAACATCTGGGCTCTGATTCTGCTTTCTCTCCTTAGAATAAAGATGAGCACCTGTAGATGCTGAGACTGGTTTAATGTCAGGAGAAATGATTATCAGTAAATATCCCTTATTCTTTAAATGAAAGCATGTAGATTGTAGTATAGATTCTTTCAAAACAGTAATATAAAACCAGAGTATACAAAGTATAGTGGCACAGTCAAAAAAAGAGGTTTCCATGTTGGGTGAGGCCCTACCTTGCATGGACTGTGTCACTGACAGCTACACGCCCACATAGGACTCCAAAGTATTTAAGAACAGGTACCCTAAAAAACATGCATCTGCTCCTCTCCTGAGGGACTAGCTCAACTCCAAAAAAACTCTATCTGTGGCTAATTAGAAATAATAGAAATAATAGACTAAGATATACGGAAATCATCTAATAGTATAATATAATATCAATAATATAATAAAAAAACAAACAGAAATAATCTAACCTCACAACAGCTGTCGATCTGGCCTTTTCCCACCAATCCACAATCCACCTAGTAACATAACGTTCTCCACCTCAAAGGGTGGTTGTGAAGATAAAATGAATTAATTTATATGAAGAACTAGGGGAGGGGAATGGTACACAGTCACAGCTCAGCATATGGTAACTTATATATCACTGAAGACTAGCAAAGATGTTAGACATAATCCGAAAACCTGATTGAACACGTTTGTCACCATTTCCTCATCCACCAAATCCTTATGAATAACGCAAAAGTGAAAAAGGATAGGAAACAGTAAAAAGGAATAAAAAGAAGACATCAGAATAGTTCACCAAATCATTATGTTAAAGGAAGAGCATTTCAAACATACTGTCCTCATTGTTACCAAACAAAATTTGAATGTATATATGACCCATCTAGTCACAACTACAGTCCAAGTTTGAATTGGACACTTTCTTTCAAGGTCAGCAACAAAGTGACCCAAGGCAGTCCCATCAACAATTGAGGACTTATTATTATGTATCAGCTACTATTCTAGGTGCCTTACGTGTGTCAAGAGTTGACTGGCAAAGGACATAACTAAGAAATACAGTCCTAAGTATGTATCCAACATAAATGTGATATTTCCAAAAATACTGTAACTGAATTAAAGAAAAAAGTATTTATAATTTAGATGTCATTGCTAAGTAAATGGCATTAATGACTTGTTTTCTCACGACGGTGTATTTAACGTCGAGTGTATTTTAAAATAGAAGGTACCGTGGTACCTGACTCCAGTGGTGGCATGTGAACAACGGTGCTGCTGTAGCTGCACTGCCTCATGCCCAGGCTCAGAGCCTCCTCGGTCAGGGTCTGTGGAGCTCCTCCTTCAGCATCTGTGGACCGTCCACTAGCTGGCATTTCTGATGTAGGTACGGCTGGGATCTGAGAAACAGCTGGTGATGTAAGAGCAACTGACAGTGAAAAGAAAAATTCCCAACTGGAAATTCATTGTTAAAGACCCAAACAGTTTACACACACTTATAACTGACAATTTAAAACCTACTGGCCATAAAGAGGCAATGTGGATTCTTTGTGATTACAATGAAATAATTAAAGTCAAAAGATTAGAGCGAAAACAGAGAGGGGTGGCTTTGTAATAACTCTCT